GTAAACTCAAGAAGATACATCCCCATATCAGGATTATATAAAGCAAGTATGCATCTCATTCCATTTTGACACAAAAACAATTGGTCCATTGTTTTTAAAGGCCTTTAAAATATACCAGTAGTCTCCTGGAACCCAGTTGTAGAGAGGAAGGAGTGATGAGCAAAGGGGTCAAGACCATGCTGGGGAGACCCACAGAAACAGCTGACCTGAGCAAGTGGGAACTCATGGACCCCAGACTGACAGCCGGGGAACCAACATAGGACCAAACCAGGCTCCCTGAATGTGAGGGAAGCCTGGGCAGTCTATGGGGCCTCTGGCAGTGGAACCAGGATGTATCCCTAGTGCACAAACATAATTCGGGAGCCCATTCCCCATGGAGGGACACTCTCTTAGCCTCAATACACAGGGGAGGACCTAGGCCCTGCCCCAAATGACAGATTTTAATGAGTCCTCATGGAAGGCCTCACTCTCCCTGGGGAGTGAATGGGGGGATGGGATGGGGGGTTAGTGGGGGACATGGGAGGGAGAGGGAAGAGGGATTGATTCTAATTTAAATTTTATTACATATATATATTCAGTTGTAAAGTACTTGCTACACAGGGTTTGGAACCCCAGCACCCACAGAAAAACATAAACTTGGAAGCATTCATCTATAATCTCAGTGTGAGAAGTTGGAGACAGGAGGATCCCTAGGGATCATAGGGCAACCAGTTTATCAAATTGGTGAACTCCAGGTGCAGTTAGTGACCCTGACTCAAAACTAAGGTAGAAAGCACCTGAGAAAGAGACCTCTGACCTCTATACATGCACTGGCACCTGCACACATATAAACATGCACGCTCGCACGCATGCCCTCACACGCATGAGCACAGCACAACTATTAGTTCTAAGGAAAAGCTGGCCAAGTATGCTGAGATATTTACAAAGCTCATACTATTAGAATACCATGTAATATTAAAATTACAAAATTCCGTTACTAATGGAATGGCAAAAGGAGTGACGGCATCCTTACAAAGGATGTTTTATGAAAGACTAAACAAGGTGTTCTGGCTATGCTATATTGCTTAGAAAATGTGTCATGACACTTCAAGTATAGAAAGCAAATCTGAGGACAATGCCTGTTATGGCCCCATTCCTTTATATTTTCCTATTTTTATGTAGGGACCAGGGAGCTGATTCAGTGGGTAAGATCTCTGGCTGCTCTTCCAGAGGACCTGAGTTCAATTCCCAGCATCCACATGGTACTTCAGAACTGTCTGTAACTCCAGTTCCAGGCATCTAGTGACTTCTTCTGACTTCTATGGACCCTGCACTCCGGTGGTGCACAGACATATATACAGCCAAAACACCCATAAAATGCACATAAAATAAAAATGATGGTTAAATATTTTTAAGTAAACAAGGCTTTCCCCTAAAAGCAAAAGTAGTTATGTCTGAGTGGCATAACTAGGTTCAGTTATGCATCTTGTTATTACAAAATTCTGTTACTAATGGAATGGCAAAAGAACAATTCCATTGGCAACTAGGCAAATAGGAGGGGGAGTATCTAAAACAGTCTTTTTTTCAGCATATTTTTGATAGGGTTTAATTGCCTCAATTGACCAGTGGTGAAAATTCAAATAGCTATACACTTATGTAATAAAAGGCCCTTTGGAAAATCCCTCACCGCAAGCACAAAAATCAGAGTAGCAAAAGTGGTAGGAGCCAAATTGAAATTCTAACACACAAAGGGTGACTACTGGGTTGAATTGCTTCCAAATGAGGCAGAGGCTCTAATTCTCTCCAGCACAGAGGTGTGAAGCTGCACTGACTAGCAGATGGCAGCATGGGAAGTCCTTCAAAGTGGTGTGTTTAATAACTTCATTTGCTGTTTACTACCACGTAGCTGTGATCCAAGAGGACACTGGACTCTCTTCAATTAATCCTCTCTACAAATATTTTACAAAAACAAGATGCTGCTTTAGAGAATGGTTATTCAAATCAATGTATGACCCAAGGAAAGTACTTCGAGACTTGGGCTCCAAAAGCCAGTAGAGGGATTCATTTGCATTTCACTGATGAGGACATGTGGGCATAATCAGATACTGACCCGTCCTGTGACTGAGTTTTTAACCCACTAGTGAGTCTACTGACTGGCGCACTTTTGGCCAGGGTAACAGGCTAAGTGATCTGACTGCATCTCTAGCCTAATAACCTTATCCAAACAACAAAGCCCTCTTGACCTCTCTCTGGTGTGTGTGTGTGTGTGTGTGTGTGTGTGTGTGAGAGAGAGAGAGAGAGAGAGAGAGAGAGAGAGAGAGAGAGAGCACATACGCTGGTGGGCTTGCCTATTCTTGTGGAGACCAAAAGTTGGCATTTAGTGTCTTCTTCACCTTCTTCTTGTTCCTGCTCTTCTTCTTCTTCTTCTTGTTCTTCTTGTTCTCCTTCTCCTTCTCTTTCTCCTTCTCCTTCTCCTTCTCCTTCTTCTTTCTTCCCACCTTATATTTTAGACAGCTTCCTGAACCTGGAGCTCACATTTAGGGTAGACCAGCTGCCCCTGATACCCACCTGTCTCCCCTAACACAGCACTAGTTGTTACACACAATGCTGTTATGCCTGGTCTTTACATAGGTGCTGAGGATTTGAACTCAAGTCCTCATGCACCAAGCACTTTACCCACTGAATCATCTCCCCAGAACCCCACCATTTTTTGTTTGTTTGTTTGTTTGTTTTTTACTTATTTAGAGTTTTATTAAAGAGTCAGCTTGAGGGGTTATTAAAAACTAAGACATGTAACACTCTGCTCTGTGGAAGTTAGAGAAACAAGAAGATTGGCAATGTGATTCCCTACAGGCTCCAGAGTCTGGAATGAGGAGTGCCAGTTCTGAGGGCAGGGAAAACAGATGCTAGGGTTGGGAAAATTCAAGCTTCCTCTTACTTGTCTAAAAGATGAGGCCACTGTGCATTGTCAAGAGTACTCTTTCACACACACACACACACACACACACACACACACCATGCTGAAAAGTAATGTTTGAGCAGCCATCTTGGCTCTTTTTAGTCAGCACTGACTTTTCCTTTAGCTCGCATATGAGATGATGAATTTATTATGACAACTTCATACCTGTATATCATTGCACTTTTTTTTCTTATTCACTCCTCATCACCCTCCCTCTTTCATCCTCCTCACCTGTCACCTTTCCTTCAAAAGTAAAGCTCTTTCTGTTCTCTGCTTTATGTCATGTTAACATATATACATAGTTGTATCAATATATATCATGTCATATATAACTTATTCTGCCATATATAGTGAAATCTGGGACCAGAATATAGACTGCTCCAATTTTAAAAGCATCCAGATGTATGTCTCATAAATATATACAACTGTGGGTTCCTGACCAAATACCCTGTCCCTGCACTGTATTGGAGGATTATCACTAGCCAGTGAGACCATAGGCTCAGGAATAAGACAGATCTAATGCACTTTTTATGTTTGGAAGCTACTAGTACTTGAGTAAACTTTCTGCCTTCTCCAGGCCTCAATTTCCTTACCTGCACAATGGGAATAGTGCTGATAATACATACCTTGGCAGGTGTGGTAAGGATCAGGTGAATCATTCTACATGTTCAGTAAATTGGGAGAGGAGTAGAAATAATGTAAATACAGTTGAAATTCTCAAAAAATAATATGTATGTATATGTATATATGCATACACATATATATGAATTTGAGTACCCAGGTTACCAGCTAGAAAAATCACAGCTATGGAAGAATTACAGGCTCAGTTAAATCTACTTGTGCTATATCGATCCCGTGGGTCCCTCTGTATACATCAGAACCTCTTTAATATTTTCATTCTTGTAAAACTCAGCCCTACTCTGTAACTTACTCCAGAAGTCCACGCTGAAAATCCTTACATGCCACATGCCTGTTTTATTTATTTTTAAATGTAACCTTTTAACTATTTCGTACATTATAAATGTACTATGATCATCTTCACTGCCTATTATCCATCTCTCGTATCCCTCTCCCATCCCTGCTGGCCCCGTTTCTCAGCCCAGCTAGTCCTTCTTATGCTCTCCTATCTTTTCTTGCCCTGCTGAGTCTCATTAGGATTGTGTGCATGAGCATGGATTGGGAGGCATTTACTGAAGTCATAGGCAACTTACCAATGGCTGCACTACTGAAGAAAACGAGGCTTCTGCCTCCAACAACAACAACCACCAATAGCTCTTCAGGGAAGGGTAGTCGCTCCAGAGCTTCATTCCCATCGAGGTTGGAATGCTAAGGGGGTTCATTCTTACATGGGTATTCACAGTTGCTGTGTGTTCATGGTGACTCATCCGTGTCATATCCTGAAGTAATTCACAGCTTGGCTTTATTTCTTGAAATGGCACTGTGACAAAAGCGGTAAAAACCAACCTGAAATATTAATAACTATAACATACCTGATTTCTGTGCAAAGTAGTCAATTCAAACTTCAAGCCACCCCAGCCTCAGCCCAGATGTCCTGAGCACCTTAATGTAAACTTCAAAGCAAAAACATTTCCTGTGATAAGAATCACCAAGTACAATGACATTTCAAACGAATTTATGCCTTCTGACTAATTGACTTACTTAGCTATGCTAATGTGTTCATGTCTCTCTGCCTTTATAGTTCAACAGATAATGTTATAGAACTGAACATTCTGAAATTAAAGAACAAAGGAAATAAAGACGACTGTGAACCTCTTTTCCATATTATATACAGAATATATATAGAGAATCCAGATTATACATTTTTTACACATTTACAAATATTTTGTTTCTATAGCAAGTTTATTTCTTCTCAGAAGACAGCAGTTTTTAATTAGACACCACAGCCTAAGGAAAAAGCTTCAACTCCTTCTATTTAGACTGAACCAACTCAAAAGGGAAAAGACTCACCACCTTGTCTCCTGCTGCGATTTTCAGAACATGCTGAATGAAAAGACAGAGGTAACCTGTCCCATCTGAACTCTGTGCTTTCTGTCATTCCCAGGTGGTGCTGGGGGCCAGCAGGGTTTCCTGGGCTGTATCCGCTCCTTGAGAATGAATGGAGTGACCCTTGACTTGGAAGAAAGGGCAAAGGTCACATCTGGATTCAAATCTGGGTGCTCAGGCCACTGTACCAGCTACGGAGCTAACTGTGAAAACGGAGGCAAATGCATTGAGAAATACCATGGCTACTCCTGTGACTGCTCCAACACAGCCTATGATGGGACCTTCTGCAACAAAGGTATGGCAGAAATGACTTCCGGTCCCGTCTTTAGACATCTTTATATGACTAAACCATCTTCCTAGCGCTTCTTTAGTGGCTGCCTTTGTTTCTAAGGATGAGGTGAATCCCTCTCCCACCTTAGGAGAAAATGTCTGATTGTTTTTAGTCCTTATTATTACCAGATGAGAGACTTGACCTTGGTACACAATTCCCCAGAGCCCAGCACTGACTGAAATGTTACAGTGTAAAGAGTCTCACCATGTTGTAATGATGAGTGACAAAGTAAGGGCCCTCTCAAAAGGGGACTCAGGCTTAACCATGCCACATCAGGATCCATGGTCAAATGTAGCCCATTGGTAGTTGTGTGCCCCACCCACACCAGCTGCTAAAACTTGAAAGCATCTCTGCTCAAATTGTCATTATCATCATTGCTACTAATCTTACTCAGAACACCTTTGTGGGTGGTTCTCAGCCTCCCTCACCCTACAAAGATACTGAAATATGCTCAGTCAACTTAGAACGTCCTTGATTTCAATACCAGTCTCGTCTTTAATGAGCCCATCTGTAGTAAATTCCACATGGACAATAAAAATACAAAAGCCCAATGCATATCCATGTTTTCACTGGGATATACTCCATGATCACATGTAACTAAAAGAAATTTACTCAACTGGTGAAGCTTAATTTCCCATATGAAATGAGAAGAGAAAAAAGAACGGCAGCTGGTACTTCTCCTAAGCCGCAGAAGCCTGTAAATCACCCTTTTCTTTCGAAATGAATGTATAGCATTTGGGGAAAGTTTGCTGTAAGATGTTTCTGTGTCTCTGTCTAAGAAGCTTTCCATAAGCACTCATTCATACTTTCATGAATACACGTAGGGTTGTTTATACTGGCATTCTTCACACAAGATGCCACACACAGAAGGAATTGTTCCACAACGCTCGCCTGTACATCCAGGCTACTGTCTGTCAGGGCTGGAGTATGAGCATATAAATTAGATCAGACTGGATTTGAAGAATGAGCATAAGATGAGAACAAAGGTGGAAAAGAACACCATTGCTGAAAAATACCAAGACACATTAACAGGGCCATTACATTGCATTTTTCTGCTCAGAACAACGTGTTTCCGTGATTTTCCTGTGGCACACAATGGAATGGGCTTGCAGAACACATCAATTTTGCACTTGTAGAAATGACATTGTTGCAATTACCATCCATTGTGCTTGGTGCTAATTTAATGCAGTCCATTCCTTTGCCAATGTAATGTCTGAATGCAATCAAGTAAGTGCTAATGCCTGAGACATTGCACTGTGTAAGTAACAATTTAAAGCAAATCATGGTTCCCCTTCTTTCTGGAGAGTTAAGTTAAACACAGCAGTTCACACAAAACCTCTGGGGGTTAATAGGCAATACTCATGAAAGGGCATCTGCTTTTCCCTTTAGCTAGCATCAAAGATAAAGGTAAAATGAAGCCTATATGTTTCCTTTGACATTATCTCAAAGGGTTTGTACAAAAGACATCTAAATATTCTCTTACAAGCTGTTTATTACACTGAATTTGCATTGGCTCAGTGGCTCTAACAAGATAATTAATTGGAAACTATAAGTATATTTGAAAAGCATTTGCGAACATCCTTCTGAGTGGTGGTAAGTACCTCCTCACCTTGGCAAAGGTGGCAGTAGTACCAGTTTAGAGGGACAATGTAGCCACACAGATTTCTGTACTCAGCACATTTTGTCTTGTGTCAGTGACAGTATCTTCTTACTGAACCTCTGTTCTAGCTCTCCTTTTGTCTTCATGGGACTCACCAACCAGACCACAATTCCCCCTGGAACTGCAGGCAGACAACTCACTCATTAGCAAAAGGATGAACTCAGTGAAGGTTCTTCTGGGGCAATCCTTTCACATTCTATGCTACTAGATATGAAAAATGCCCAATATTTTCTAAGTGAGTGAAGCTGGTCCCAACCTGCCACACACAACCCAGTTACATGTTTCTTTATTACAAATGCACAGGTAGGGACAAGAGCACTTGCTCCTCTTGCAGAGGGACCACATTCAATTTTTATCACCCATATCAGGAAGCTGACTACCGGTAACTCTAGATCCAGGTGTCCCGGTGCCCTCCTCTGCAAGAACCTGCACTCATGTGCCCATATTCCACACAGATAAATATTCCACACACATAAATCAGCAATAAAATAAAACTTTCTAAAGCACATCTGTGCACATGGAGTAAAGCAAATTGATAGTCCATAAAAAATATAACTGTGAGGGGGTTGTTTTGTTTTTCAGAAGGGTGGAAATAGTGGGACTTCTTAATTTTGTTTTTGCTTGCTTATATCTCATAACCTTCATCCAATGGTATATCATGTATTTCACTACTTTTCTTTTGGGAAAAACAGAAGGCAGAACTCTTACTGGAGACATTTAAGAAGTGGCTGTCTCTGATGAGAAAATGTCTAGTGATTAACTAGAAATTATTGTATAATCTAGTCATGTTATCTGGAATGAATGGAGTTGCATGTCAAGTAAAAATTGATGGTAATTAAGTTACTCTTGAAAATCATCTCTCAATGCATTTAAAAGAGCCTGCTCTTCGATGAACATCCAAAGGAATTATCCTTCAGTTTTCTCATGCATATTTGCATCTTAAACACGGGGTACTCTAGAAACTCATATCATTAGGCCACACAGTCCATCACATCACCTATCTTTAGAAAACTATGCCCTTCCCCTCTTCTTAAGGTATTCAGCAGCCAGCAGCCATTTAACTCATCTGAGACAGGTCCATTACACAGAAATCCCTTGAGAACTTACTGGCTGAGGCCTCGATGCTCCCAAAATCAGAGGTCATCCCAGTCTCCAGAAAAGTACATATATGTAATATCCCCCGACCTCTATTAGAGACCAAATGCATAGTTGCTTAACTGTGGCAGAGTTTTTTCTAATTGAGCCATTCTTTCTTGGATACTCAAACCCCAAACACTCAAATATGTTATGATTGCAAAAGCCATTCTCAACAACCATCATAAATTAGCAATATATTTTGCAGTATATAATCTCTCTGCACATCCTATGTGATTTTATAGAAAATGAAAAATAATAGATTTTTAGAGTTTAATGGTAGCACCCAAATTCATCTCCACCTGGAACTGCAGAGTATCCCCCCTGTTTGTGGATGCAATTAAGGGTTAATGTAACTGAATTAGGGAAGAGCCTAAATCCTAAGAGATAGTCCTTGTAAGAAGAGGGGAAGACAGGGAGCTGCATTGTAACATAGATAAAAGGGCTATGTAAGGAAAGAGTTGGAAATTAAAGTGATGGTACCACAATGCTAGGGCTTCCTGCAGCCACCAGGGTCTGGGAGAGGCAAGGAGAGAGAATTCTCTAGATCCTTGGAAAAATGTGTGACTCGCTTATTTAACTAATAGTTACAGGATGTCAGTAGTCAATGTGTGCTGCTCTACTGGAATATCCAAGACTGGGTGATTTCAAAAGAAAAGAAATCTATTTGATTCATTGTTTTAGAAGCTGGGAAGTCCAAGTTCAAGGGACCCACATCTGATGAGTGCCTTCATGCTGCAATATCTAATGGTAGGAGGAAAAAGAGCAAGACAGCATGAGAAGCCAGGAGTGTGGAAGAAACCAAACCCATCCTTTCATCTAAATCCATTCTCATGCTAACTGACTCATTTCCCACTGTCACTGCATTAGTCCATTCAGGAAGGCAGAGCCCTGGAGATATAGTCATCTCTCCCATCCTATCTGTCAACACATTTGCAGTGGAGGTTGTGTTCCAAAGGCATTCAAACAACGGTAAACATCTAATGTGCCTGGAAGCTTTGTTTGTGTCATTGTTGGGGTGGGAGGAGGACACAGGTCAAAAGCAACTTCAAGACTGCAGTCATCTTCTCTACCACCCTAGGTGTGGAACACAGGATCCACAGAGCAAATCCATGCACCTTTACAGAATTAGCTAAACACCTTCTAAAGAAAACCAATTAATATAAAATATTTTAAACAAATGGGGTAAATGAGGGAAAGGAGTGTTGGATCTGTGTGTCTTAGAAGTTCATGTTGTATGAACACAGCTAAACTGTCAGCAGCAATGAGCTTTTTCACAGGTCTTAGGAATCCCACACAGCTTGGAAAACAGTTCTGCACCAGTGAAACACGGTCCCCCACCAGTTAAAAAAAAAAAAAATTCCTCCAGCAGAAAAAACAAACAAACAAAAAAAAAAAAAAAACAGTCCTCCAGCAGTAGAAGAGAGCGTCATTGGTTTCTTTTTCATTTGATAGATCTGAAAGACCAAGGAGGAAGAACAGATTTTTCTTGCTCCTTTTCCCCTTCAGTGTCATTCAAGAAGGGAAAACACCCTTCTATGTTAATGTCTTTATTAAATCTGCAGACTTAGGTTGAAATTTAAAAGTCTCATGGTAACATAGGAAGATAATCTGCTTAAAAGCTTATAGATCTATTTGAAAAGGAAGAAAGTGAAGAGAAAACAGTAAGGGAATGAACAAAAACAAGGATGTGTGGACAGAGGTCCAGGGATGCTGACGAACAAAAGAAAACCGCATTTGACCAGATTCGAAACTCTGGAAGCTTTGGGATTGCCAAGTAGGTGAAATGACTTCCTCACAGAACTTTAGGATGGTAAAACAGCATTTGCTCTCCCCTGGTTTCCTCTTGGGAATCTGGGTGGGAAAACCTGGCCAATTAACAATCTCAGAGGAAAGGATTTAAAACAACAGGGGGCAAAGTCCTTTTAAAGCTGTCTTAATGTAGTAGAGGACAGAGATTTTGAACTTTCACTTTGATTATGGGATAAATCACATTTTCTTTTTTTTTTACTTTATGCTGCTTTCTAACCTCCCCCGGGTTTGGGATACAGCTGATTTCTGCCTTCCCGCTCCCGCCCCCCCCAGTGTGTCTTGTGTGTATGCCCCCCCAACCGGTGTGTGTTTTTTGTGTGTATGTTGAGTGTTTTCCTTTCACTTTCTTCAACAATGA